TTTTTTTGAGATGGGGTCTCACTCTGTTGCCTAGGCTAGAGTACAATGGTGTGATCTTGGCTTATTCCAACCTCTGTCTCCCAGGTTCAAGCAATTCTCCTGCCTCAGCCTCTGGAGTAGCTGGGATTCAGGTTCCTGTCACCATGTCCAGCTAATTTATGTATTTTTTTTAGTAGAGACGGGGGTTTTACCTGTTGGCCAGGTTGATCTCAAACTCCTGACCTCAGGTGATCACCTGCCTTGGCCTTCAAAGTACTGGGATTACAGGTGTGAGCTACTGCGCCCAGCCATCTTACCATTTCAAAACTACAAGGGAGCACTTTACCCTTGGATGAAAAAAGTTTATAAAATTGAATTACAAAGTAGACATTTAAGAGTTTTATAGCAAAATAAATATGTAGACTTTTATGGGTGAGACCATGATAGTATGGGAAATATCCTCAACAATGGCCATATACTGCATTACAGCCAATAAAACTTTCCAACACTGCTTAGGTTTAAGGGTCATTGGGAAATCCCTTTGTTGATGTTTGTAGCAAGAAGTACTATGAGCTAGTTTTGCTTATCTGGGCCAGACTAGTTCTGGGTGTTCAAAAGATATGTTGCTTGTCAGTATTAAGGCAAATCATTGATTCCCTTTCCTGTTAAACTGCAAATGTAGCGGGAAGGCTCTGAAGCCCAGTGATGTGTGGTACATTCAAAGAAAGAACCTTTAAACAAAGCTCCTGGAACTTTAATCATGCTTGCACTTTGCTTTTTCCTTGGATGTGTCACTTCAATAAATAAAACACATGCTACATCTTCTTTTGCGCAGAGCTGTCTGCCTTCATTTGGAGAGATGATCATGTATCTAAAGGGAAAGAGAGCTCTGAAGAGAACATAGCAACCGAAAAGTGTAACCACTCTTAGGAGGAGGTCAATATTTTAGCAAAGAACCATAAATGGAAGACTATTCCTGGCTGGCTGAGGTGGTTCACGCCTGTAATCCCAGCACTTTGGGAGGCTGAGGCAGGTGGATCACCTGAGGTCAGGAGTTCAAGACCAGCCTGGCCAACGTGGTGAAACCCTGTCTACTAAAAATACAAAAAATTGCCAGGTATAGTGGCAGGTGCCTGTAATCCCAGCTACTTGGGAGGCTGAGGCAGGAGAATGGCTTCAATCTGGGAGGTGGAGGTGAGCCAAGATCGCGCCATTGCACTCCAGCCTGGGCAAAAAGAGTGAAACTGTCTCGAAAAAAAAACAAAAAAAGCAAGGAGTGGTGGCATATGCCTGTAATCCCAGCTACCCAGGAGGCTGAGGCATGAGAATCACCTGAACCTGGGAGGTGGAGGTTGCAGTGAGCCGAGATCATGCCACTGCACTCTAGCCTGAGCAACAGAGTGAGATTGTCTCAAAGGAAAAAAATACTATTTCCGAGTAGTAAATTTCACTAATTGAAAGAACCCAAGAACCCTTTACCAAGATTTGTCACTGTTCTTACCCAAAGAAAGACTTTTTGTGCATTTAGAAGTAAACTGTCACTGATCACTGATCAGCTCTAATGAAAGTTGCCTAGACTAAGCCACAAAAGCCTCCTACTACATGATGTATTATATACCCTGTCTAGGTTATAGTCACTTGCAGAAAATAAGTTTTAAATTTGGCCTTCTGGCCCTCTAATATTTGAGTGCCTTGAAAAGGAAAACAATTCTTCCCTTGGGGGGAGAAGTGCTCCCATACTCTTTTGATTCTTAGCATTAGGATAAGTGTCTTTACAGGAATTTAAAAGTCCTTGAAGTGACATCTGTTAAGTGTTAAAGAGAGCTACATGGCAATAAAAGATCACACAGCACAAAGTAATGGCCTGACTGAGGTGGTCATATAGAAATAAAGGATCTTCAAAGTTGTTTATGGTGGTAAAAACATAGTTTCATTGCATGTACAATTTGCTAGATGAGCATGAACGTTATAGCCATACGTACATAACAGTTACAATACAATCATGAAAGTCGGCCGCAGGCCGGACGCAGTGGCTTATGCCTGTAATCCCAGCACTTTGGGAAGCCGAGGCGGGAGGGTCACCTGAGGTCAGCAATTCGAGACCAGCCAACATGGAGAATCGCTTGAACCCAGGAGACGGAGGTTGCAGAAAGTCAAGATAGGAAACTGCACTCCAGTCTGAGCTACGGAGCAGACCGCTAAAAAAAAAAAAAAAAAAAAAAAAAGCTGCAGACGGCGAAAGTGGATCTCGGAACCTTTTTGTTGAGGATATTTTTCGGGAGGGACCGGAAAAGAGGTGGGATCGTTTGTCGTGATGTGGGGCGGCCGTAAGCTGGGCTTGTCCGGGGGTTGGTTTTTAAGCGTGCTGGGGCCTGGGGGCCGGAGTACACAAGCTGCACGTCCTCTAATTTCTTCGGCGGGTAAGTCAGTGTGTGTGCAGAGGACCGTCGCACGCAGTCCATTGCCAGGGAGGGAGGTGGCTGGCGCTTCTGCGCATGCGCTGGGGGTGGAGCGATGGGTTTGTCGCTGGACCTCGCGAGGGGTCAGCGCGAAACCTCAGGCTTGGCCCTGATCCCAGCTCTCTCCTTTGCAAACCTGGCATAATCTCCTTGGTGGACGCCGGGAAAAAGAGCTCAGACCAGTGGTCCTGCCTGGAAAAGCGCAGGCTGCGGGTCGCCGTGCGAGCTTTGTCTTCTTGTTGAGCTCCTTGCCCCAGGAGCCGGCGACCCGCCGTTTGTGTGCTGGAGTCTGAAGGTCATCATGCATTCTTCCTTTGCCGGGGCAGGAAAAACTCACGCCTCGTAGTTACGCATTGCTTTGTATCTGTGTTTTGTTTGCACAAAGCTTGCTTTTTTTTCTGGAGAGAATTTAAGGCAAGTATGTTACTTTTTGATTAATAGGTTAATTCAACAGACTGTATTTGCAAATGAGATCAAGAAAATAATGCACCGCTCAGTGTTTGTAGACAGCAGTCTGATTTTCGAACTCCCAGTATTAACTAGAAACTTAAGCTCATCTTTTACATGGAACTCTTAACAATTACTGTATGCCAGACACTGTTGTGGGCCCTGGGAATTTAAAAATCAGTGACACCTCAGGTAGGCTTTTATTTTTTTTGAGACGGAGTTTCACTCTTGATGCCCAGGCTGGGGTGCAATGGCACAATCTCAGCTCACCGAAACCTCTGCCTTCCGGTTTCAAGCGATTCTCCTGCCTCAGCCTCCCGAGTAGCTGAGATTACAGGCATGCCCCATCACACCCAGCTAATTTTGTATTTTTCGTAGAGTCGGGGTTTCTCCATGTTGGTCAGGCTGGTCTCGAACTCCGGACCTCAGGTGATCCACCCACCTTGACTCCCAAAGTGCTGGGTTTACAAGCATGCGCCAGGGCGCCCGGCCCAAGGATCTCTTTTAAAATGTTAGGATAAACCTAAGATCAGGATATAATGAGCAAAAAAATGGGAAATCTAACCACCCATCAATAAAGTTTATTAGTTGGTACTATCATACAGTGAAAAATAGTACAACCAATAAAAATGATTTAAATCTATTTGTACCCACATGGAAAAATAGTAAGATACAGTGTTAAGAAAGTAAAGTGTCATTGTTTCCTGCAAGGAGCCAAAAAAATTTAAAAAGTTACAAATCATTGTGTATAGTGAACTTGGAGTTAAAGGTGGAGATACATAGAGAAATTTTGCAGTTTGCAATCAGTACTGCAGATTGCCTGTAGTAGAGCAGGTGATTTTTTCTAACATTTTATCATCCTTTATATACTTTTATTTTCCTGAACTTTTTTTCAGTAAACATATGTGTCTTTTATAATCAGATATTTAGAAAAGATACAATATGGCCGGGCGTGGTGGCTCACACCTGTAATCCAAGCACTTTGGAGGCCAAGGCTGGTGGATCACCTGAGGTTGGGACTTCAAGACCAGCCTGACCAACATGGTGAAACCCCGCCTTAAAAAGAAAGAAAGAAAGAAAAGATGCAATAAACCTAGTTCCAATCTTTGAAGAATAAACATAGAAGGAGTATCTAATCCCTATTTGGAATCAAGGAAACTTCTTGGATGGGGTATTTAGAAAAATCTTGAAGGAGGTGGCCAGTTTTAGAAGCAGTTGGCTGACACAGGCAGATCACCTGAGGTTAGGTGTTCGAGACCAGCCTGGCCAACATGGTGAAACCCCGTCTCTACTGAAAATAGAAAAATTAGCCAGGCATGGTGGTGGGCTCCTGTGATCCCATCTACTCGAGAGGCTCAGGCAGAAGAATCGCCTTAACCTGGGAGGCAGGGGCTGCAGTTAGCCGAGGTCACGCCAGTGCACTCCAGCCTGGGTAACAGAGTGAGAGACTGTCTGAAAAAAAAAAAAAAAAAAGCAGTTGGAGAGGGTAAAGGACCCGCTTGAGAATCTGTAAGAACGTTTGTGAGAAACCACAAAGCGTTCCTTAAAAAGTAAAGTGTGTAGGTGGAGGGCAGAAAGTAAAGGCAGGGTGTGGCAAGGGATGAAGCAAGAGACCTTTTTGGACATGACATGTTCATGAAAGGCCACATACACCTTCGGAGGCTGACTATCCTGCAGACAGTGGAAATTACTGAAGAAGCAACATGGGCAGATTTATGTTTAAGAAATAACACTTGGCAGCTGTCTACGTAGAAAGTGGGACGGAGACAGGCAAGTCTAGGCCCAGGAAGGCCATAGAGTAATCCAGATAATAAATTATGATTGCGGCCGGGCGCGGTGGCTCACGCCTGTAATCCCAGCACTTTGGGAGGCCGAGGCGGGTGGATCACGAGGTCAAGAGATCGAGACCATCCTGGCCAACATGGTGAAACCCCATCTCTACTAAAACTACAAAAAATTAGCTGGGCATGGTGGCGCGTGCCTGTAATCCCAGCTACTCAGGAGGCTGAGGCAGGAGAATTACCTGAACGCAGGAGGCGGAGGTTGCGGTGAGCCAAGATCGTGCCATTGCACTCCAGCCTGGGTAACAAGAGCGAAACTCCGTCTCAAAAAATAAAAATAAAAATAAAAAAATAAATTATGATTGCTAGAAATCAAGTATTGGCAGGGTAAAAGCCTGTCACCTGTTTTATTTACTGTCAATGTGGTGCCTGGTAAGTGCTGAATAAGTGACTTTGAGTAAACAAAATGAAAAAACTTTTCCCATGCCTTTAAAATCTCAAATACCAGGATGATCACAGATTCAAAGTAGAGAAGGAATGGGTAGCATTCTGTTTAAATACAAACTCAGTTACTCTCTTAAAGTTGTGGTAAGGTGGTTTTTATTTTTACTTTTTAAATTAATTATTTTTTTGAGACAGGGTCTTGCTCTGCATCCCAGGCTAGTGTGCAGTGGCATGATCACAGTTCATGGCAGCCTTGGCCTCTCTGGCTCAGTTGGTTCTCCCACCTCAGCCTCCTGAGGAGCTGGGACTACAGGCCGGCACCACCACACATGGCTAATTTTTATATTTTTAGTAGAAAAGGGGTATCACCATGTTGTCCAGGCTGGTCTTGAACTCCTGGGCTCAAGTGATCTGCCCACCTCGGCCTTCAAGTGTTGGGATTACAGGCATTGAGCCACTGTGCCTGGCCAAAGGTGGTTTTTAAACCTCTTGAGAATTGTAGCAATACTGATTACTTAAGGATTCATTTTCCAGAAATAGAGGAAGTAAGAGATCAAGGGTCGTCTCTCAGTAGAAGGCAGGTATTGTTAAAATTTCTAAGGCTTAGTTTCATAATAGTAATACCTTATATGTCCTTATCTATTTATCACAGTTTACATAATTAAACTTTAATTATTCTTTAATAATATCTCATTTATCTACCTAAAGTCGTACAGGAGGTGATATTTGAACTGGGTCTTAACAGGTAATCCAGAAAGAGTTGGTGGAAAAGAGAATAAAATGAACAAAAGCCAGGCCAGGTGCCATGGCTCACACCTTTAATCCCAGCACTCTGGGAGGCCGAGGCAGGTGAGTCACCTGAGCTCAGGAGTTTGAAACCAGTCTGGGCAATATAGCAAAACCCTGTCTCTACCAANAAAATTAGCTGGGCCTGGTGGTGTGCGCCTGTGGACCCCGCGACTGGATAGGCTGAGGTAGGAGGATCACTTGAGCCCTGGAGGTAGAGGCTACAGTGATCCATAAACCCACCACTGCACTCCAACTTGGGCAACACAGCAAGACCCTGTCTCAAAAAAATAAAATTTAAATTAAAAAAAAAATAAAATGAGCAAAATTCTAGACACATGGACTTTATTTAAAAAAAAGAAATTTGTAATGGATTTGAGATGGACTGTGAAGCGCTGATTAAAAAACAAAACAAAATAAACATAAGCCCAGGAGAAAAATGTGCAGAGACTACAAGAAGATAAGACATGAAATATAAATGACCATTAAATATAAGAAAGGATACTTAACCTCATTCATGATAAATTAAAACTACATTAGCCTGGGCATGTTTATAGTCCCAGCTACTTTGGAGGCTGAGGGGGGAGGATCTCATGAGCCAGGTTGGCGGAGGTTACAGTGAGCAAAGATTATGCCACTGCACTCCAGCCTGGCTGACAGAGTGAGACCATCTCAAAAACAAAAAATTAAAACTACACTAAGTTACTATTTTCACGTATTTGATTAGCAAACAAAAATGTTTAACACATTGTATGGGTTATAGTGTGGGAAAACTAACACTAGACACTCTCATATATTACCCATAGGATTGTAAATTGGTTCAACATCTATTTGGTGGCAGTTACAAATTTACAAATGCACATACCCTTTGACATAATTCTTGAGATTTTACCTGCAGGTACTCTGAAACACATATGAAATGAAATAACATATGTAATTTTATCTCTAGTTGTTGTTGTTGTGTTTTGAGACGGAGTCTCTCTTTTGCCCAGGCTGGAGTGCATTTCGCTCACTGCAACCTTTGCCTCCCGGGTTCAAGTGATTCTTGTGCCCCAGCCTCCTGAGTAACTGAGACTACAGGCATGCACCACAATGCCCAGCTAATTTTTATACTTTTAGTAGAGACGGGCTTTCGTCATATTGGCCAGCCTGATCTCAAACTCTTGACCTCAAGTGATCCACCTGCCTCAGTCTCCCAAAGTGCTGGGATTACAGGTGTGAGCCACCACACCTGGCCCTAATCTCATAGTTTTAATAATTACCCAAATGCCCGTTATTAGGGTACTGCTTAAATAAATAATATAGTCATACAATGGATTACCACACAGCCTTTTAAAAAATATGAAATAATCTCCAAGATATGTTGGTTGGTGAAGAAAAACATGCAGTAGAATGTGTGTATTTTGCTATATTTTATATAAAACTAGAGAAACTGATACTTTAAAATGATTGATTGCATATGTATAAAATGCCTCTGGAATCTTACATACAAATCTAGTAAGA